AAGAGAGAGAAAAGAAGAAAGACAAAGAGAGAGAGAAAAGAGAAAGAAAAGGAGAGAAAAAAGAGAAAGAAAAAGAGAGACAAAGAGAGAGAGAAAAAGAGAAAGACAAAGAGAGAGAGAAAAGAGAAAGACAAAGAGAGAGAGAAAAGAGAAAGACAAAGAAAGAGAAAAGAGAAAGACAAAGAGAGAGAGAAAAAAGAAGAAAGACAAAGGGAGAAGAGAAAAAAGAGAAAGACAAGAGAGAGAGAGAGAAAGAGAAAGACAAAGAGAGAAAAAGAGAAGAAGACAAAGAAAGAGAGAAAAGAGAAGGAGAGAGAGAGAGAAAGACAAAGAGAGAGAGACAAGAGAGAGAGAGAGAAAAGAAAGAGAAGAGACAAAGAAAGAGAGAGAGACAAAGAGAGAGAGAGAGAAAAGAGAGAGAGAGAGACAAAGAGAGAGAGAGAGAGAGAGAAAAGAGAGAGAGAGAGACAAAGAGAGAGAGAGAGAGAAAGAGAGAGAGAGAGAGAGAGAAGAGAGAGAGAGAGAGAGAGACAAAAGAGAGAGAGAGAGAGAGAGAGAGAGAGAGAGAGAGAGAGAGAGAGAGAGAGAGAGAGAGAGAGAGAGAGAGAGAGAGAGAGAGAGAGACGAGAGAGAGAGAGAGAGAGAGAGAGAGAGAGAGAGAGAGAGAATTACAAAAACCTCATGGTACATTTCTGAAAATCGATCACCGTTGTCTCAGCGACGTGGCAATCGCACCCCACAAATTAAATTCTGCCCTGCAATGCGCAACAGAGAGGAAGACTGTTGCAGTGATGTCAGACCCCTCCAGCACACCTGTTCTGCCCATCTGTTTGCTCTCGGCAGCAATACAAGACTGGCTCTATTTGAAAACAGATGTCCCCTCTCATGACTCTTGGATGTCTGAGAAGTGTAGGATTTTTTTTTTCTTTTCTTTTTTTCATGAGTCAAAAGTTAACCAACGTGAAAAAGAACAAAATCTAATACCGTCCCTTGTGCTTTTTTATAAAGAAGTTCATGCTTTTTTAAATAGGATTATCATACAAATTAATATTAATTCTTATCTTACAAGTTCTTGGTGCTACAACAGAGATGCAGAGAAGAACTTCATGAAGGTAAGTACAAAAGAATCAGGAAAAGCAACAGAAAGGTTCCGGCTAGACATTCAATATAGTCGTTCGCCTTCAATATATTTGTGACTTAGAACTAGAAAGCAAATCAAAAGTTGACTGAGAAAGCTTCTAGCAAGAAAGAGGAAAAAAATACACCATTACATTATCAGGATGCCATGTATTAAACTTTCTTACCTTCAAACAGTATAGACAACTCTGCAACAAATAAATTGCATTCTATGAACATTCTTTCTGCCATAATATGGGCAACCAATTTGCTTTAGAGCACAAAGGCTTCATTCTAAGAACGAATAAATAGTCTGGTAAATACTTCAAAGTTCAATAAATTACTTCTTACATACACTAAATATAGGAGTGTGAGTGTGTGTGTGTGTGAGTGTGTGTGAGTGAGTGAGTGAGTGAGTGAGTGAGTGAGTGAGTGAGTGAGTGAGTGAGTGAGTGAGTGAGTGAGTGAGTGAGTGAGTGAGTGAGTGAGTGAGTGAGTGGGTGGGTGAGGTGGAGTGAGTGAGTGAGTGAGTGAGTGAGTAAGTGAGTGAGTGGGTGTGAGTGAGAGAGTAAGTGAGTGAGTGAGAGTGAGTGAGTGAGAAGAGTGAGAGAGTGAGTGAGTAGGTGAGTGGGAGAGTGAGTGAGTGAGTGAGTGAGTGGGTGATTGAGTGAGATGAGTGAGTGAGTAAGTAAGTGAGAGAGTAAGTGAGAGAGTGAGAGAGTGAGTGAATGAGTGGGTGAGTGAGTGAGTGGGTGAGTGAGTGGATGAGTAAGTGAGAGATGTACAAATGTGCTGGTAAAAACTCGGTCATCATCAGATCAAATCAATATCATAGGCCAATACTAGTTGCAACACTACCTCCTATGATGACATACTAATATATCTGAACTTCAATCTTCCTTGCAATACAATGACAGCAAATTTTATTCAAAAATAGTCATCCTACATATAGAAGCAGATACTTTTTTTTTCTACTATCAAATAATATGTGAGCCTATGTCTATGCATATGAGTGTACTTTCCCACTCTAGTTTATGCTAATATTTCCTGTTGTTGTTATATTACTGTTCTACTGCCATAAATAGTTGCCACAATATGACTAATGCCAAAATATAAATATGTTCAAGATATTGAAGTAGAAAATGCTAGCTGATCAATTGCAAATGTCTGAGGAAGAAGAAGAAAAGAAAAAAGTACATAAGAATCTAAGAAAAATACAATAAAGCACTTCATAAGAATCAGAATTGAACATTGTTTCATTTATATGACAAATGGTGATTTCCATACCTTTAAAACATCAAGTGGAAAACAAAGTCTTCCTCTACATAATGCTAAAAAAGGATTTTGAAGGCAGTGACTTTTTTTTTCTTTCTTTCTTTTCATT